TTGCAAATCCTTTGCAGTCAGTGACTGCCTGAAATGTGGAAGCTATCTGAGGTTGGTTTTTTACCTATTGGTGCTCTGCCAGGTCTTTACTGCAGCCGTCTCCAGTTCCTGCTCATTCTCGGGCCATTTCAGTTTTGCCTCCAGTAAGTGAAATTCATGCTCAACTGGACAGAGGTCAGGAGCTAAACCTTAGGCACCCTGGTCAAAATTTCTGTTACTGTAAGCAAGTAAATGTTGACCTGATTTCCCAAAGGCATAAAGTTAAAGATGACACATTTCTTTAACATTTAAGCACAGGTACTTTCTTATTTCCATCTTTTATAGTTTCAAAATAACTAAAACTTTAAAAAGTTTGGGCAACCTGCATGGTCTGTACTTAAGTACTTAAATGTCTTTTTCCATTTTTATCATTTTGAATGTGTAAAAGAAGGAAAATCTTCCTTGCAAAAGGCTTCTAGCTCTGTGTGATTTATGGGCTCTGCTCTTTTGAGGTCTATCCACAGATTTTACGATAACATTTATGTCGGGGGACTGTGATGGGCCTTATAAAAATCTGTAGCTTGCACCTCTTGAGTTTGTCCATGGTGGATTTTGAGGTGTGTTTAGGATCATTATCCTGTTGTAGAAGCCATCCTCTTTTCATCTTCAGCTTTTTTACAGGTGGTGTAATGTTTGCTCTCATAATTTACTGGTATTTAATTGAATCCATTCGTCTTTCTACCAGTAAAATATTCCCCATGCCACTAGCTGCAACACAAGCCCAAATCATGATTGATCCACCCCCATGCTAAACGGTTGGAGAGGTGTTCTTTGAATAAAATTCTACACCGTTTTCTCCAAACACCTTTATTTATTGTGGCCAAAAAATTCTCGTTTAACTTTATCGGTCCACAGGGCTTGTTTCCAAAATACACGAAGCTTTTCTAGATATTCCAACTTCTGATGCTGAATTTTGAGGTGATGATCATATTCACCACCACTCCAAAGTCTGCTAAATCTTCCTGAAAGTCTTTTGCACTCCAAATGGGGAGACTTTCTTGCAATCCCATGAGCAGTCCTCTTGGACAGTTTTCTTGGTCTTCCAGAGTAAGCAGCTACCCAAAAACAATTTGTTTTATATAACGTTTCTTATATATATATATATATATATATATATATATATATACACACACATATATATATATATATATATATATATATATATATATATATATATATATACAAGGAGGTGGTTTAATGACGTGACCAGTTGGTATATACAGACACACAGTTATCTATCTATCTATCTATGGATCAGACACAGCAGTGCTGCTGGAGTTTTTAAATGCTGCGTCCACACACTCTATTAGACACTCCTACCTTGTTGGTCCATCTTGTAGATGTAAAGTCAAAGATGATAGCTCATCTGCTGCTGCACAGTTTGTGTTTGTCATCCTCTAGTCATTTCATCAGTGGTCACAGGACACTGCCCACAGGACACTGTTGGCTGGATGTTTTTGGTTCTCAGTCCAGCAGTGACACTGATGTGTTTAAAAACTCCAGCAGCACTGCTGTGTCTGATCCACTCCCACCAGCACAACACACACTAACACACCATCACCACGTCAGTGTCACTGCAGTGCTGAGAATGATCCACCACCCAAATAATACCTGCTCTTTGGGGGGTCCTGTGGGGGTCCTGACCAACAGGGTAACAAAGTAGATGGACAACAGTATATACTGTTTATATAGACAGAGAAAGAGAGCGAGCATAAGAACATAAAAACTGTTGAAACACGTAAATCTTCAGATAAGGAGGCCGTATGATAAACGTTTCCAGTAAACAGAAGCTGATAAGATCATTCTGCCTCCTAATGACATTTTAAATCTTTCTCTCAGCACTTATTGAAGGTCAGCAAACTCTCATCAGTGAACACATCTAAAATGTTTCTCACCATAGAGATCATGCTTGTGCTTAATGTTGTTTCATAGCAGACTAAATTTTATCATAATCACTGTAGGGAGAGTATAAAAACATTGATCAATATAGATTTGTAAATGCTAGAAGACAAAAAAGGAAAAATCTGAACACAGATTTATAACTCCAGGGAAGGCACAACTGCCTTTAAAACACTGTAGAACTGTTAAACAATGAAATGTCCATCATAAACTAATGCATGTTGCATTAATGTACAACCCCATTTCCAAAAAAGTTGGGATGTTGTGCAAAATGTAAATAAAAACAAAAAGCAATGATCAAATCATTTAAACCCTATATTTAGTTGCAAATAGTACAAAGACAACATATTCAATGTTAAAACTGAGAAATTGGATTGCTTTTTGAAAAATATATGCTTATTTTGAATTTGATGCCAACAACACGTTCCAAAAAAGTTGAGATGGGGGTAACAAAAGGCTGGTAAAATTGTGTAATGCACACCTGGTGGTAAATTGCCAACAGGTCAGTAACATGATTGGGCAAAAAAAGAGCATCCCAGAGAGTCTTTCAGAAGTTAAGATAGAGGGGGGGTCACCACACTGTGAAAGACTGTGTGAGCAAACATTGTAACAATTCAAGAATAACATTTCTCAACATAAAATAGCAAAGAACTTTTGCTTTTCATCATCTACGGTACATAATATCAATAAAAGATTCAGAGAATCCAGAGAAATCTCTGTATGCAAGGGACAAGAACAAAAACCAGTATTTGCTGGCTGTGATTTTTGCGCCCTCAGGCGGCACTGCATTAAAAAACAGACATGATTCTGTAGAGGAAATCACGGCATGCGCTCAGCAACACTTCTGAAAACCACTGTCTGTGAAAACAGTTCATCGCCGCATCCATAAATGCAGGTTAAAACTCTTCAACGCAAAGAAATTAAATATAAACAGGATCCAGAAATGCTGCCACCTTTTATGGGCCAGGGCTTATTTAAAATGGACTGAGGGGAAGTGGAAAAATGTCCTGTGGTCCGACAAATCAACATTTAAATTTTTTTTTTTGGAAATCATAGACACTGTGTCCTCTGGGCTAAAGACCACTCAGCTTGTTATCAGTGCACAGTTCAAAAGCCAGTATTCATGATGGTATAGAGTTGCAGTAGTGCACAGAGCATGGGTGACGTGCACATCTGTGATGGCAACATTAATGCTGAATAATGATATATACAGGTTTTGGCAACATATGCTGCCATCTAGATGACATTTTTTCATGGAAGGCCTTGATTATTTCAGCATGACAATGACAAAACACATTCTGCATGTATTACAACAGCATTGCTCTGTTTTTAAAGGGACCAGGTACTAAACTGACCTTACTGCAGTGCAGTCCTGACACCACTGATAACATTTAATGCATTATGAAATGAAAAATATGACAAAGGAGACCCCGAACTGTTGAGCAGCTGAAATCCTATATTAAATAAGACCAAGAAAACATTTCACTTTCAAAACTACAGCAGTGTCTCCTCAGTTCCCAAACGCTTACAGAGTGTTGATAAAAGAAGAGGTAATGAAACACAGAGGTAAACAGGCCCCTGTCCCAACTTTTTTGGAACATGTTGTTGGCATCAAATTCAAAATGGGCAAATATTTTTCAATAAACAATAATTTCTTTGGTTCATTATTTGATATGTTGTCTTTATAGTATTTTCCTTAAAAAATATGGTTTATATAGTTTGTATATCATTGCATTCTATTTTTATTTACATTCTGCCCAGCGTTCCAGATTCTTTGGAAATGGGGTTGTACGTGTTGGTAGACAGAGTTAACCAAGCAAGACCCAGAAAAACTCCATGAGCATCAAAACAAAGTTGGACACATGCAGGAAAAATGACCTTAAAACTGTTGAATTAGTAATCAGTTTTATTTGTGAAATCATGTTGAGTGAATATCATGCACTGAGGTCTTCGAAAGATGGAACAACTGCTTTTTTTGAAAGGTTTTGTAATCTGAAATTCAATCGTAGCTTGCTGGCTGGCTACAACTTTTAGCTAGCTAGCTAACAAGGCAAACTGGAATTTGTATACTTAACCTAATCCACCTATCTTACACCACTAAGCTGGAACTTATATATTCAATTTAACTAGCTAGCTAACAAAACCAAGCTGGACCATATATATTCAATTTAACTAGCTAGCTAACCAAGCTGGACCTTATATATTCAATTTAACTAGCTAGCTAACAAAACCATGCTGGAACTTATGTATGCAATTTTATCTAACTAGCTACCAAGATCAAGCTGAGACTTATATACTCATAGCTAGTTAGAAAACGCCACCAAACTGGGACCTCTATGTTCAGTTTTATCTAGGTAGCTAACAAGATCAAGCTGTGACATATATACTCAACTAAAACCAGCTAGTTACCAAAAGCAAGTTGGAATTTATACATTTATACACTCAACTTTTTTAGCTAGCTAAGAAGTCCAATCAAACATGCATTACTCCTTATCAAGCCAAGTTTTATTACAAACTTCTATACATTCTATATTACAAAAGTAAATGTCTGAAGTAAGCAAAACTTAAGACAGAGGCATGTTGGAATCAAGCGCTGTGGTCTGATACAACAAAAAAGAGCATTTGATGAAAGGAACGCCTTGCCAACTGTTAGGCTTAGAGTGGATCATGTACGAAATGTTGTGGAGATGGAGAAAAAGAGGAGATTTAGCTAAATTTCAACAAATTCTGGCAGCCACTGTCCCACACTCAGTTAAGAAACTCTGTGGTTAGATCTAGAACTGGTAGATGAACTGGAAGTGTTCTGCAGGGAAAAGCGAGAAGAATTCCTAAATCAAGAATAGAAAGACTGTTAGCTGGCTTCAAAAAGCGTTTGGAGGCTGTGAGTTCTTAAAGTGAGTTGTTGACTGGGCACCCAGACTTATGCACACACCACGTTTTATTTTTTCCAGTATCTTAAATTCAGCAAGTACACAGTAATCGTGTGTTAAAATCTGCAGAATGCAGAGCAGGCGTTATCTCCTTTTCATAATAAATCACTGACACAGTAGTTTTGACTCAGAGGCTCTGCCCCCAGACATATCAATAATAATCTGAAGTCTGGCTCGTAAGACTATTTAAACACACACAGACACACACAGATAACCTAAAGGCTCCAGATCACAATCAGGTAAGTGCTGAAAGTCACATTTAGGAGTATGAATTAAAGACAAAATAGGCAAAAAATAGTTAAGAGTCTTAACCTTTCAAAGTCTAGTGTTCCTATTTCTTGCTAATAACTATGTAGTTACACATAAACAATACATGCAACAACAATTTAACTACTGATATTTGTTATCACAGATGGATTATCAACTTCAGTTTTTACTCATTTCAGAATTGAGTAAACATTTTGATAGAAACATGCTGCACTGTCAGAAATAAAGGTGCTAAACTGTCACTGGGGTGGAACCCTCAAAGGGTTCATGCCAGTACCTTTAGTCAGGGAACATAATTGTACCATAATCCATTGGAATTATATTTTCTAAGATGTATTGACTTCACACACCCCGTCTCGTCTCCAGGATTTTCCTAACACTTAGCTTAGCTAGCTGATAGAATACGCTTGTGTTGTCTAAAGGCTGTCACACACTGGCTGCGCCATGTCACGTAGCGTCATGTAGCAGAATGCTGCAGTAGAATCCCGGCAGGTACATCCCAAAAACAGCATCACTTAGCACGCTTAGCATGGTGTGTCTGGCGTGACAGCCTTCATAGCAACCAAAGTTATGGCTTTAAACCATTCTGTAATGTGGTGGTATTGAATTGACTCAACAACAGCAGATGTCCATTTATATTTAACCTCTTAACATTCCAGGTTTATTTCATAATAAGGCTTATTATTCAGTTACTACAAGGACTTCAATGCAAACTAATTGAGCTATTCTTAGGTTATAGAAGTGTGTAATAAAACTGGCTTGTTAAGGGGTAAAAGATTTTTAAGTAGGTGCAGTGAAATCAGTTAATCCATGTATTTTAATCAGAATGTCATGTTATATTTAAAGCATTCCACAGTAACATTGTAACTGTTACATTTTAGAACAAGAAAAGTGCATCTGCAGGAAAATGCAGAGTGATTGTACAGCTTAAACAGTTGCTAGACAGTTGCTATGGTGTTGCCAAATGGTTACTATGGTATTACAGGTGGTTGCTAACATTTTGATAACCATCCCAAGTGGTTGCTAGGGTGTTGCAAGGTGGTTGATATGGAATCCTTGATGGTTGGTAAGAGGTTGCTATGTAATTTCTCTTGTATTCCACAAGGTGAATAGGGTGTTACTAATGGACATGATTCATTGTGATATAAGCTGTGTGTACAAACTTTTGCACCCCATTGATTTCTGTGAGATAAATAAAAGATTTCTTTAGGGTCCTAAAATGCTCATGTCTACTGCATTTGCAAGTTAAAATATATGCTAAAACTTAATTTTTCATTCATTTTCAGAATCAACCAGCAAATATTGAATCTAGTGCATTTCCTGCATTAAAATAATAAATGAGGACATCTCAAGACCTAAGAAGCTTCACTGTGTTTTTGTCTTAGAAGCTCAACATCACCTACATCAGGGTTCAGTGTTAAGATCCAAATTACAAGAATTCTTTTTAAATTTAATTAAAACTACAATTTTTTTTTACCGTATTCACAGTTTAGTATATTATTTCACATTTGCCATCGTCACTCACCTGGGCCTGTGCAGTAACCTAATGGATTTCCATTAAATAAAATCAAGCAAAATATATATATATATATATATATATATGTATATATTAATATATATATTATATATATATATATATATATATATATATATACACACACACAATTGAACCCCTTAACAGGCCAGGCCCAAAGTTTTATTAAACTTTATTACACATCTATAACCTAAGAATAGTTCAACCAGTTTGCATTAAAGTCTCTGTAGCTACCGAATAATAAGGCTTAGTGTGTAATAAGTCTGAACTTTTAAGGGGTTAATGAAATTTAAAACTACATTTTTAATGCAAAATTTTAAAACTGAGCTCAGTTTTTTGTTTATGAATTTTGCTGAAAGTTTTACTCTGATTCTAAATCACAAATATTGAGTCACCTGCTTATAAAATGACTAAACTCTAAACTACTTGGAGCAATTTTTTGTAATGTTGCATGGCTGCATGAATTAATCTTCCTCTGTGCAGAATGAGGGTTTTGCTCGCTGTCGCTGCTCTTGTGGTCGCGGCCGGTGCTGCCAGCGTCTCTATGGAGGATCTGGAGTTCCACGTCTGGAAACAGAAGTTTGGTGAGCAATTTACATCAAATTTGCTTCTGTATAACAAAATCTCCACCTCCATTTAACAGCTGTCCATCAGGCCTTAGCATTAACATGCCACTAACATGCCAAAGGTTTCACAGCTGAGAGTTGTAGCAGCTGTAAGAAGCACCTTTGGATGTAACTAATATGCTAATTATATTCTTTTTTAATTCTCTTGAAATAAATAATAAATATTATAAATACATAAATAAATAAAATAAATAAATATTAAAATGTCTGTCACACTAAATGTTTTCAGATTTTCATCCTCATAGATGTTACATAAGATGCGGAGAACATGAGAAAACACAAAACATTGATAAATGATCATTTCATTTATTGAAGAGAAAACGTTGTGCAACATCAATATCAGTCATGCAAAAAGTAAACTCAAATAACTGGTTGGGGCATCTTAAGTAGCAACAACTGCAACCAGATGTGTCCTATAACTAGAGATCAGTCTATGGAGGAATAGTGGTCAGATGTTCCTTGCATAATTGGTTTCATTGAGCCACACTCAAGAGCTTTCAAGCATGAACTGCCCATTTAAGGTCCTGCATCTCAAAGAGGTTCTTTGACTAAACCACTCCAAACTCTTTATTTTGTTTCTTTTGAGCCATTCAGAGTTGGACGTGCTCTTGTGCTTTGGATTGTTGTCTTGCTGCATAACCTTATTGCAGATGAGCCTCAGATCATGCATTAATGACCAGACTGTAAGATTTCTGTAAAGCAAAATTCATGGCACCATATTATAGCGAGCTGCCCAGCAGCAAAGCACACCCATCCTGTAACACTACCACCACCATGTTTCACTGCTGTTATAATGTTCTTGAGGAATGCTGTGTTAGTTTCATGCTTGAAAGGCTTGGTAAGCCTTTTTAGACTGATTTATTTCAATAAATTTCTCAACTATTCCACATTTTTGGTGGCAACTGCTTGTTGAGACTTTTTATCCTACTTCACATTGCTGGAAAGCATTCTTATTTAAGTGAGGTTTAGATTCAATAGGACAGCCAGCTGGGTGTGTCAAGTATAATTGATCAACTAAGTTTGGTTAATTGGTTGATTGAGTACTTAAGTAGGCTTTTTCCACACAGGGACAGTTGGTGTTGGATAACTGTTTCTCTGAAATAAATGAGATGAACATTTAAACAGTGTATGATCAGTGTATGATGTGTTTACCCAGATTGTTTTTGTCTTTTATTAGATTTAGTTTGAAGATCTGAAACAATTAACAGTGAGAAATATGCAAAAATAGGATGTATGTGTTTTTAGTCAATGGCAATTATTTGGGGTGTTTTGGAAAGGCCTGTTTGTTTTGTGGCATATCAGCTATGTTTTCCCAAATGTGCATGTCTGGAAAAAGGACTTCTTATCTCTTTCCTAGGTAAGCATTATGGTTCAGTGGATGAAGAGTCTCGCCGTAAAATGACCTGGCTGGACAGTCGTAAGCAGGTCCTGGTGCACAACCTGCTGGCTGACCAGGGCATCAAAAGCTACAGACTCGGCATGACCCGCTTTGCAGACATGGTGAGATCCCTTTGTCCTGCAAATCAAATGTACAATCCGGGGCAGAATTTAACAAATAAATGCAGTAAGTCAGTGTGGGAGAGCTTTTCCCACTGATTGTCTTTAGATGTTGAAGTTTTGTGTATAAATTTGCAGACAGTCTTTTACAGAAAGAAGAGCCCATTTTGATCCTCTCAGCATTGACGGCTTCAAACAGCTTAAAAACGTTGCTGAGCTAGTTTGTGTTTAATGTGAGAGCAAATATTTTCTATAGGGTTTACATCTGGACTTTGATCAGCCCAAAACCATCAGTAAAAGCCATCAAAATTCTTTTTGAATGGGAGTATATTACTCAACACTCTTTTGGGACTCACTGGTCTAGAGCACTGTTTTTAATGGGCAGTAACTGCAGTGATTCAGCTCGATGATTTGTACCAGTCTTTATGTATGTTTTGTGTTTGCATCTCTCATTTTTCTTTAGAATAACTCCATTTATTTGGTTTTATTAATTGTACAACTGACCCATCCATGCTAATGCAAGTTTAGATATAGAAGCCATGATTAAATCATCATGGCTCACTTTTCTGAGAACAAACACAAAAATGTGTTAAGGATAAATGTCAGACACAAACTTAATTCGAAGAAGACCAACAATCAGCGTAGTGTGATTCAAACTCAGCTGTTTGAGTGACAATAATGCAGCCATTAGCGCTTCCGTTGATCATTTGCGTTTTAGCTTAGCTAGCTAGCAGTGTTAGAAGTGCTAAAGCCTGTGAATTTTTTGCTTAGCCTCAAACTCTAATCTCTAAAAACCGTGATTATATACACTCGTGACAGTAACTGAGCAGAGCACAGATAGATCAACTCACTGCTGCTCTTCAGAAGGAAAAAAATGTGCATGTATTTCCTCATATCAAAAATATATGTGCAGTATACCGTATGCTGTCAGTATAAATTTCAAATATATTTCCTAATATCAAATAAAAATTGTTGTTGTCCAAAATACGCCCCCAAGTGTTTCTATTTATTTTGCACATAAATACAAACACACACATATATATATATATATATATATATATATATCTATATATCTATATATGTCAATGCAAAAATTTTTAATATATATATATATACACACACACACACACACATTGTTTAAGCGTTCCACTGTCTGAACAGGACAATCAGGAGTACCAAGCCACGTTCACGCACTGCCTGCGGTCCTCCAATAGAACCCAGAGCCGCAGTACACCTACACTCCTCCGACACGCAGAGGGCGTTACTTTGCCCAACACTGTGGACTGGACGGATATGGGCTTTGTGACAGAAGTCAGGGACCAGGAGGTCTGTGGCTCCTGCTGGACCTTCAGTGCGGTGAGTCTCAGTAGGACAGACAAGTGGAGAGAGAGAGATGGAAGTGTGTGTAAGGACAGTAATAAAAGCAGAAGGAACAAACAAATAAAATGAAACAGACAGATGTACTGCTGCAAACTCAGCACTGTGTCATGTGGCTAAATACACTAGTTGTGATCATGCTGTAAAATACATTTAGGATGGTTTAATCTCTGCTGTTTCCCTTTATTAACGGCTCTGGCACTCCCGGTTAAAATTTCGTGGAGTCGAGAGTTGGGATCGGTTTAGAATTGTGCATCAACAGATTACTTTGTGCTCTTGCACTCTCATGTGTACAAATTTAAACTCAGTGAAAACCTGCCTATTCGAATATTAACCGTTTATAGGAAAGGTTAATCAGATAATCATTAACACAATCAATAGGTTAAGATTAATCAGTTAATCATCCCAACGAATTTCTACTCGGTCGTGATTTAGCCCTGACTACTGAGAGAAAAGACTACCTTCGTGAGTTGAATGACAGGCATGTCTTTATGTGTTGTTTCCTGCTGTTCTTTTTTCATGCCGTCATGCTTTATGGTCACTGGAAAATGTAACGTAATGCTTGCTAGCTAGCTAAGCGTGTTTGTTATCTGAAATTTTGAAATAATGATGATGACAGTAACACTAAGAAGTCCAACAAATCAGTTTTGCATTCCATTATATAATGTTATTCTCTTGTTCCTCGCTCTCAGGTAGGGGCACTAGAGGGTCAGATGTTCCGGAAGACAGGGAAGCTGGTACCCCTGAGTGAGCAGCAGCTGCTTGACTGCTCCTGGCCCTTTGGAAACGATGGGTGTGAAGGTGGTTTTGTGGACCGAGCCTTTCGGTATATCATGGAAAGTGGAGGCCTGATGTCAGAAAGCTCCTATCCTTATGAGAACAAGGTGTGTTTATCAAAGTAAACTGTCAGGTAAACAAGGTGAGGCAGGTAAAAGGCCTCGTGCTGTGTTTGAATTTTGCTGCTACACCTGAATCACAGTATCATAACATAACTACACACCACTTATTGTGATATACAGTCAGTCAACCTCCTAGGGCCATTTCACACCTTGTTTAGTGTGGACCATTCAAACTTTTTTTTCAGTTTGGTCCAGTGGAGCCTTCCATGTATACAATTGAATGGTGGTCCACCAAAAAACATGAAAACCTGATTGGTCCATTGAAGCAGATATCAATTAAGTTTTCTTCTTATTGCTTTGATTATGATGCGTATAAATGGTAAGCGTCTCTGTTTTCTATTTTTCTGTTTTTATGGTGGTGAATGTGCCACCATAAAAACAGTCCCTGCAGAATTTCTGACCAGTAAACAAATGGGTCATTCTACAGAAACGTCCATTTTTGTGTCCTTAGCATTTACAGATATAGTACACTTAAAAAACATGTTAGGGTGACAATTTATTTATATTTCAAAATAAAACAATAAGTTATTTTGAATTTAGCAATATTGTTTTAAATCAATTATCTAGAATTCCAAGCACTACAGAAGTGCTTGTCTCCACAGCCATGTGTAAAGGGTGAGGCCATATTTTAAAGAAAAAAACACATTTTTCTGCTATTTTAACTGCAATAATCTATACATGACTTTTACAGAAAAGTGGACGTTTCTGTAGAGTGACCCAAACACGGAATTGAAATTTGGTACTTTAGTGTGAAACTGACCGTACCAAATAAAAATTATACAGTGTTGCAAAAAAACTCAAATACTGGTTCAGATCTTAGCAAAACAGCTCTGAAAATGTACATCATAAAGTGATACATAAACACATCTTTTTTCTTCATGTTTATTCACTTTTGGCAGGAAAAGAGGTGATGATATATTTTTTATTTATGTGGAACTGATGTACACCTTTCGTAAGTCAGAAAAGTCGGTGCACTTTTTTCAGTGCTGGTGTGAAAGAAGCCTTCATTTCAATCTAGCGCATTATTTGGTTCATTTTATTTGAAGAGGTAACTGGTTTCTCATTCAAGAATTTAAAACGCCAGCTTGGCCTGTTAGAAAGTCCTCAAAAATGCATTTGTGTGTTTTATTTAACATGCGCACTATGAGCTTTGGGTTGGCTAATTATTATTAGAATTCAGCCAAAAATTCAGGCATTGGCCAATTTGGCTGTAAAGAAATGGGAATTGAAATTGGCCATAAAAATTCACAATTGGTGCATTCCGAGTGTTGTTTCTGATCTTTGGATTTGTAAAGGAGCTGCGAGGCTGCAGTAGATAACAAGAAAATATAGATGCTTATATAGTTGTTGAGTTGTTTAGTAAGCTCAAATAAGTTTTCTTATGTAAAAAAGCAAATAAGAAATTTTACACTACTGTGCAAAAATCAGAGACCACTCTTTTTTTAAGACAAATGTATTCATTTTATTCAAGTTATTCATAATCCATTTGCAAAAGGAAGTTTCCAAAACTGTAGTTCAGAAAATGATCAACGAACAGAGAGAAAATCTGACACAAATGAGGAAATTGGCATTAGATCACCAAACCTGGCCATCTGAGATGTGAAGAAAGAGTGATCCCACTTAACATTATGTGTCTCTAATAACTGTGTAGTTACATGTGAACAACAAATGCAACCACAATGTAACTACTAATGATTTAGGCACTGTTACAGATGAATTACGGAAGTGTAGCCTTTGTAATTACACATGTGTATCTTCTTCAGTTTTGCCTCATGTGATCACACGTGTATTTTAATAGTGGTAACAGCCTATTCTCTTCATGTAATTAATCAAGTGTAATAACAAATGTAATTACATTGGTAATCTGATTGGAAATGCATTTTTTCAGAAGTTTTTTTTTGCAGTAAAAGGAAGTTTGTAATAACTTACATTAAGATATTACTTACACTGTATCTGACAGCTTTCCTAACATTTAGCTAGCATTTATGTTGCTAGTGCTGTGACACTGTAACCAGTTTAAACCATTCTGTAATGTGACAGTACAGCAGATGTCTCCTTATCTTAACATGTAACTTTTATGACATTAATTAAATGTGCTGCATTACCGCTAAAGCAATGTCTATATTACCACTCCATTATTACACAGTACCTACATAACAACTACACAGGAACTGTCCACTTTCTTTAAAGTGTAACTCTAACACTACACTACAGGAAAGTTCCTGTGTAGTTGTCATAGAGGTACAGTGTAATTACAGAATGGTTTTAATGAATGTGATGTGATTAGGTTACCTTGTTACAACACAGTTATTCCACAGTAATTATGTAAAACATAAATGTAATGTTATGAAAAACATACTTCCTTCAAGCACTGGAAAACACCTCTGATCTGTAGTGTATCAAAAAGATAATTACATGAGGCAAAACTGAAGTTGGTAATCTTCTGTAATCCATCTGTAATACATACTAAATCATAAGTAGTTACAGTGTTGTTGCATATGTTATTCATGTGTAACTATACAGTTATTAGAGACCCAAAAGCATTTATAGAGGAGTCTAAATTTACAACTGGGACAATATGAATGGTAAGAAGCAGAAAATACAAAACCAACTTCTGAACTGAAGACTGAATTTTGGAGGTGTGTCTGCAGATTTCTTTGAGAAACTGAAAGTGAGTCTTGTGAAAACAATGTAAGTTGTAATAAAGGTAAAGAGTGACACACTGAACACTCACACAGCTGATATTAGATTTAGTTCTTGAGGCTTCTGGGTAATTTTCTGATTAAAATGTCTTTTCTGCTTTTTTCCCCTGATGTTGAAAATTTAACAACTTGTGCTTGTTTCCCATTTTGGACTTTTACACATACATCTATAAAAGTAGATGTAATGATCTCATTATTAAAAACGGTAGAAGCATCTTGAAGCCTGACATTTTGTACATACTTTAGTCTAAGTTTATAGATAACAGTGCATCATGGAAACCACATAATCAAGTCTATTAAAGAAACTGAATACTAAACATCACTTGGCTGATCTGTATTTTGGGTAAGGAGGGGGTAAACTTAAACAGTTGCTTTAAACCTGAACCATAGGGTGAGAAATCCTACAGACACTTCTGATTGTCCCTGTCTGTTCTGCAGGAAGGGATGTGCAGGTTTAAACCAATGGAAGCTAGTGCTACCTGCAGTGGCTTTGAACAGTTACCTGTTGGAGATGAGAATGCTCTGCAGATGGCCGTGGCTGCAATCGGACCTATTTCTGTAGGCATAGAGGCCAGCCGTAGCACCTTACGGTTGTACGAGTCAGGTAACCCTCAGAAACCATCCTGTAACCACCCTGTCTCTACTGAGGCACAAATCTGGCTGCAAGGAAAGGAGTGAATCTTCAGAGAAGGGCTACTGATTTCTAGCAATCATCATATTGTTTAAGTGTAGTAGTGTAGTAAAATCTGGAAATCGAAAATTGTCCAATCAGGATTGTTCTCTCCATGGCATCTAGGTTGAGACAGCCAAGTAAGCTCTCCCATTGGTTAGGACTTCAGCTCAACATAATGGGAAGTTTTAAATATCATCCCATTGGAATTATAAGGTTCTATCTGACATTTTTCTCAAAATCTGTGAGGTCTTGACATTATGTGAGGTGTTTTTTTTAGTTGTCTGCATTTTTGGACTGTTTATCTAGAAAACAAAAAGGTTCTATCTCCAAAGTCAAACTCTAACTTAGTTCTATAAGGTTCTGTCTGCAAGCCAATCAGCACTTCAAATACACACAGAGGACCAATCAGGTTCTTCTTCTTTGTCATGTTGCGGATCTGCTCAGTGAAGGCAGGAAAAGTTTATAAAACTTTATGAAATGTGAAAACATGTTGCTGAAACTCTGGCTGTCTTCTTACTGCTCTTTAAAAAGGCTTACTGTCTTAGATTTTACAAATGTTATGCCTAAAAGGTAATTATATATTAAACATTTGAATTGATGGGCTCTTAATTACAACTTAAACATTAATTTAATTCATTTATCCATCTTTCTTTTTCTTCTTTCTCTCAAAATAGGACATTTTGGCTTATTAGAGTCACATTTCTGATATAAAACAAAACCTAATGTTGCCTTTAGACTGACCTGCTGGGACAGTTTATTACAGTAGCTGATTTCTGTCTGACTAAACGAAACTTAAATTAATGGTTCCTTGCTAAAAACTGTCCACTGGACAAACTCTCCACTGGACAAACTATTTAGCACTGACCTTTATACTTAATCTGCAATGCCTTTTTGAATAAGTAAAAACTGATTTGTCCTAAAGCAAGAAATAAGTGTAATAAAAAGATAAATAAATAATAAAAAGTGTCACAAAAATGTCATAAAAGCACAAAATCTAACTCTCTGAGACATGTAGAAACTCTGCTACAACACTAAGTTTTCAAACAAATTACCCTTAAAAAGTGTTCCTTTAAAATCATTGTTTCTTTTCATGTTTTGTCAGATAGAACCTTATAACTAGATATAGAGTGTCTGTCATTTTCATGCAGAGACTTGTTCCACATATCAGTTTCGCTATTTGGAAAGCTTTTGGAAAGTTCAATACCTCAAAACTGCACAGATTGCAGACAGAACCTTATAATTCTAAGGGGACGATATGTCACTGACTGTGAATATGAGCTGTAGTCTAAGCAGTGTTCCGGTTAGCTGTTAGGAATGGAAAACAGTGGCGGCAGCTCTGTAACAACTCTTTACTGAAAGAGTCACTGTAAAATTGACACATACAAGCTCAGAGATATGATAATGTCTGTTACAAGCTTCAAATAAAACATATGGAACATCTTTTACAAGCTTAAGATGTCTGTGTTTTATCAAGAACAGCCCAGCATTAGCCAAGTGCTAACAAGCAATTAGAAGTCCCATAGGTAGCTAGCAGAAATTGGCATTGTTGTAAAGGACATGGGGCTCTAAACAAGTCAGGGCAGGACAGAGCTGTGAAGTTTCACTGCAGAATCCAGATGACGGTGATTCTGTAACACATTGTTTGTCCATTTTGGTTCATTGATTTTCCAATTTACTAGCAAGTTGATTCATGTCTGGATATCTGTAACTGACGGCTTATATGCTGTCTCATTGTAGGGGTGTATGATGATCCGTACTGCACTGATGAGAACCTGAATCACGCTGTCCTGGTTGTTGGTTATGGCACTGATGAACACGGGCATGACTACTGGCTGGTCAAGAACAGGTGAATGAACAGGCAATTCCAGTTGAATTCCTGACAATTCCTGATTGGAATGAACACTGGAAGACTAGTGCTTTGTGCTTTAAACTGAACTTATACATTAGTTTTTAGTAGTTATTGAACAATTCATAGTTTAATAGAATAATAAATCCTGTGATGGTTCAGCCAAAAATGTACCCAGTTATGATCTCACTTTATTTGGATAGCCCCCAGTAGATTATCTATGGATGTTCAATTTATTAACAAACTATCTGTTGAAAGTCAGCAGTGTCAAAGTTAGGGTTAGGATTAATACCAGGGTGAGGCTTAGGTTTACGTTTTTTTAGGGTTAGATTTATGGCTAGGGGAAAATTAAGGTGAATTTAATATATACTTAATAGAATGTAAGTGTGCCATGTGCCGGCCCCCCTGGCCCCCCCGGGCCCTGAGGGCAACTGTAAAAGCTGGCAGGAAGGCGGGGCCTGAACCGCGAGTGAGGAAGAAGCCCTGCAAGGATGGCGGGGAGAGAAGAACTGTAAGGAAGCAGGGGACGGTGCACAAGTCCCGTGGCAAGGCCACTTTAATTTGCCTCACGTTTCATGCCGGTGGATGAGCTGGAGAGCAGGGGCTGTGATGAAGGAAGAGCAATGAGCTCTCTTTCCTTCTCCATTCCTTTTAAAAGGCACTCCTGAGCACCTGAACCAAGAAGGAAAGAAAGCTTGGGACCAGAGGTGGTGCTCAGGAGGCAGGGCTTGCTACCCGACCCCCATACCCTCGCAGTTCTCCTCTCCTCACCGGGCTTCGTCCTTGCTCAGGGTTTGGGCCACACCTCACTGCCGGCTCTTGCGGTGGTCATCAGGGCCTGGGGAACGGGCGTATGGCACAGTAAATTAAATGTAAGATAAACATCTACAAAGCATTCCAAAGCTATCCAAATAAAGTGTTACCCCAATTTCGTCCCTTGAAATGATCGCCAAGAAAAGCTTTTTGTCTGAAGTTTGCTTCTTCAGGTTTACGCTAGAGCTGCAAGGCTAATGTGGTTAACAAGTAATGGAAGGTTATACCCCAGCAGTTAGCAAGGTGCTAACTGCATGCCTAAATTAACACACACTTGCCTCAAATTGTGTTGAGTTGTTGAATCTCTCAATAGACCTGGTTGTGTGGTTCAGTATGAGAAGGGAATGGTAATCTCTAATAGATTGTGTGGTTCAGTATGAGAAGGGAATGGTAATCTCTAATAGATTGTGTGGTTCAGTATGAGAAGGGAATGGAAATCGGATTTACTTTTTGTAACTGCCAATGCATATTTAGCAGTGCTATCTCAGTTACCACAGAAAGCTCATCGCAGCTCACGTTTTCTTCTTTGGCAGCGATTTATCCATTAAAAAAACATTTTATTCAAGTTACTACATTTGTAACCCACTATAAATACGTGTTGCATTTCTCTGTAATGCTAATCCAGGTGGATTTAGCCCTAATTTCTACATTTTCCAAATGGGTGTGTATCAGCATCGACATCATCTGATATGTACATGGCAAATGTTGAATATTGGCATTGGCCCATAATTCTCATATAACCACACCCCACTTCACAAAAACAACGCAGAAGGTTTTAATTAAATTTATGGCTGAACGAGCATCAAGAGAATGCTGCCATGGCTAACTGGGCACACAATCGAACAAACTAACAGACGTCAGGCAGGCTTATTAGCACTGTTAAGTTTCTTAGATTGGCTTTGGTTGTTAGCTTTCGCTCAGTAAGTTTTGCTGCCCCAAACAAAGAGAGACAGAGTTGGAACACATAAAGCTGTGTAAAGATTTTATCTAAATACTATGTCATTCATTTGTTGGATGCTAGACTGTTATTTTAGAGCATGATTTGTACCTATAGCCTATATTCTCATAGATTTCAGTTACCTGGGGCTTTCATTTATGGCTGAACTGTTGTTTTAAGATTCACTAAATCATACGCTTTCAGTTTAAAGTAATTTATTTTGCAGTTGGGGTGCTAAGTGGGGTGAAAAGGGCTACATCAGGATGTCCAGGAACAAGAGGAACCAGTGTGGTATTGCCTCAGATGCCGTCTACCCTGTGGTCTAAAGGTATGCCTTAAAAAGGAAGATCTACACTGCTGAGTTTAGCTCAAATAAATCCTAATATGATAACAGCCCACAGTGATGGGAAACACTAATTATTATGCAAAAAACAAGCTCAGGGTGGGTTACTGTGTTATGTTCCAACAGGCAAATAAATAAAGCTGCCTTTGGTAGGGTGTCCCATTTTGGGACATCCACAAACCACAGCGTCAGGTTTCAGACATCCGAGGAAAAGGCTTCAGGTCTCGGGAAAAACACAGTCATGTCTAACGACACTGTGTTATTGTATGCATATTTTAGTGTTTTTTTTATGTAATGCTTTTAATTTTAATTAAAAAAAAATACATTTAGTATGCTCTTCTCTTTGGCAAAGGCTGAGCTTATTCACAGCCTATCACTGTGTTTACTCCTGTATCTGCTCAGTGTTCAGAACAGTCTCAAAATTATCAGAAGAAAACTTGTATGAACTGTAGATCAGACTCAGTTTATATCACAATACCTACATTTAGAGTCAGTTATTCATTCAACCTAATGAGAAACTGTAGAACAGACTCAGTTTATATCACAATACCTACATTTAGAGTCAGTTATTCATTCAACCTAATGGGAAACTGTAGAACAGACTCAGTTTATATCACAATACCTACATTTAGAGTCGGTTATTCATTCAACCTAATGGGAAACTGTAGAACAGACTCAGTTTATATCACAATACTTACATTTAGAGTCAGTTATTCATTCAACCTAATGGGAAACTGTAGAACAGACTCGGTTTATATCACAATACCTACATTTAGAGTCAGTTATTCATTCAACCTAATGAGAAACTGTAGGACAGGCTCGGTTTATATCACAATACCTACATTTAGAGTCAGTTATTCATTCAACTTAATGAGAAACTGTAGAACAGACTCAGTTTATATCACAATACCTACATTTAGAGCCAGTTATTCATTCAGCCTAATGAGAAACTGTAGAACAGACTCAGTTTATATCACAATACCTACATTTAGAGCCAGTTATTCATTCAACCTAATGAGAAACTGTAGAACAGACTCAGTTTATATCACAATACCTACATTTAGAGCCATACGTTTGGTATATTATGGAAGGTCACACTGTTAGGATGTATCAGCTGGGCAATTATGTTGTTTTTTGAGGATTTTTAGTGCTAAATATCTGACAGATAAGGCAGAACGTTCACCAGCTTCAGCTGTTTTAGTGGGGCTTGATAGTTAACATCACGGCCTATACCGCTAACGACTGTAGCGTGGATGAAGTTTACCTGACAACATTTTTTCCCACTGTACTGCCATATATTAATACATTGGTGCAAAAGTAAAAAACACCTTAAAAAGTCTTTGATGTTAATTCAACTACGCCAAACAACTTTGTATCATTAACAAAATGATGACATTATAAATGCATTGAACCCATTCTATGAAATGATGTTTTCCTACAGATTGGAGAAAGCCAGGACCCTGATGAGCATCTCAGAGGCGATTTTTTAAAAAATCTATTTACAAGCTTGTTTTCTTTTCTAACTTTCAACTTTTACTTTTCTATTTCTTTTTTTAAAACATCAGTGTTACATCCTCACTCATGATGCTGTCTAAAAGTATATTAAAAAAGTAAATAAACAAACTTTGAGCATTCGCAAAACTGTGTAATGGCTTTAATGATAACAGTGTAAATGCAGCTGGGTGTCATCAGCGTTCTGCGAGAAGTAGAATGGAAGTGCACCAAGAGTAGTCCCCTGAGAAACTCTAGTAGTGAGTCTCCGAGGCCCGAGAGGGAGGCATTCCAGGCTACTGAGATCCAGAAGATAAGATAGAAATCATGATGGTGCCTCTTTGAAAGTCCCTGAGAACCTCAGTATGACATGTTCTACTCATTGTTTGTCATCACAAGTTGGTAGTATAGCCATCTTAAAGGCCTTTACAGGGTGTAAAAGATGTAGTGGTGTACTGGGCAATGCACGCACGTTGCTTACAAAAGGTTGCAAGTTCAGTCCCAAATCCAGGCAGCTTTGCCATACAAAAACAAAAGTTAAGTGCCCGAACTCTACATTCCCAGCTGCTGGATGCCTTAAAATGTAAGGTGTACTATATTTTGTGAACACTGAACTTACTATGCTTTCACTGTTAAATCAACACTGCACAATCATAGAGTAAACATTGCTTGAACATTTAATCAACCTGCTGGTAGATTAACAGCTACTCAACATTCAGTGAGGGCTGGTAAATAGTTAATGATGAATCAATGGCCAAAACTACAAACAAGATCAATGCAAATTAAACATTAAGATCTATGTTAATTCTGTGGTTTTGCCCAAGTTTGCTATCTGTGTAGTCATCAGTAACAAACTGTCATCATCTCTGCTAACAGTAATGATTTTTTGGAACAATTATAACTTATCCAAGAGATTTTATTTGAAGTTTTCATTGTGGTACCACTTTAAATAAATTCTGGCTTTAGATACAATACAAGTATACCCACTTTTAACCAAGTTCTACAAACATCTATTTTCAAAATTTACATGTAATCAAATCATTTTTTAAAAAGATAATTCATAAAAAAAGCTTGTTGCATTTGTTTACCCTCTGCAGTGTCCTGACATATGATTGGCCTTTCGTAAGCCAGCAGATCTACTGGAGAATGTGAAGCCTATGATTCATTTAATAGTGGCCTTAAATGATATGAATTAAAATTTTAATTGACTTTTTTGTCTCTTTTTCATTGGGTTTCATAATGTATTTCACTGTATTTGGCTGAGAAGGGGAAGGTGAAGGGGAAATACATTGGTTCCTATGCCAATGGTAGAAAGTAAATGAAACCGTGAACAGCTTCAACTTCATTAGGTTTCAGCTTTTTTTAAGCCTCGAAACAGAAAACACCTGGCTGTTAGCTATCATCTTCTTGATGTTCTTTACTGAGATGGTCAAAACTTCATCATTTTCTCCTAAACAAGTTCCTACTACATGCAAGTCCACTGATTTACCAAACTACACTACAGTAATCACACATTTCAGTCTTGAAGGAACGGCACAAAAATTCAATACAATCTATTCTTGTCTCATACTTCTTAAGTTTTGTGCAGCATTGGCTACCATTGGTCAGTAATTCCCACCCCTGGTCCTGAAACACCCCCTGCCCTTTTCTCCCAACATACTTGATTCAACTAGCTATCCTATTGGCTGATTGCTAATAAACAAGCCCTCCCCGAGTTAAAGTGGGTTTTTTAGCCAGGTGTTATCCATTTCAGGTTCTAAAGGGGAGCACCAGGAACAGAAGCACAGATGATAACCTACACATATTATCTAAGCCGCTTTTCCTCCTGGGTTGCAGGAGCCTGTCCGAACACTCAATGGGTGGACACACTGGACTAGACAGGCTGCCAGTCCATCACAGGGCAAACACACAGATACAAACATTCACACCTAGCATTTCCATTTCATCTGACAGCATGTCTTTGGACAAACTCCACACAGAAAGGATCCCGGCTGGGAAATCAAACCCAGGCCCTTCTTGCTGTGAGGTCACAGTTCTACCCACTGTGCCGCCATGCCAACCTAGACGATAATATAAGACAATCCTACCTGACTGACCACTGACAGTTTAAAAATATAAATGTCAAATTTTCTGCATGTACTAAAGTGAAGTGTGGTGTCCCACAAGGTTCTGCTATAGGACAATCGTTATTCTATTATGCCTCCATTCAGTACAGTTACATGCAAATATGTTATTAGCATTCTTGGCTGGACTCACAGATAACAGATAACTATATTTGCTGGTCTACTGTACAGGCCACAGAAATAATCCATAGAAGATTTATTGCTTTTTCTTCTCTGTGGCTGATGCTAGACATCATCTCAGGCCACTTTAATTAGCGTGCTATCCTCATTGCTCCAAATGCACACACAGTGTTCTTAACCACATCAAACATCAAAACAGCCCTTTGAACATCAAAACACAGAAAATACATTTATCAATTAGTCACAAAAAACGGGCACCCAGCAAAATTAACAATACATTATGTATTATACTGCACTCATGCTTTCACAAAAACAGAGCTGAGAAAGAGGGAAAAAGTAGAATGAAATGAAAAAGCAGATGAATCAGACACCCTGCAAACCACCAGAAAAAGAGGATGTTTGTGGTTAACCTTTCTTAAGAAGCAGAATCAGATAGCATTGGTTTACCTTATCTGAAATTTTTTATCTACTTCCACTTTCTGCTGCCACTTGTAGAGTAAACTCTCATGAATGTAAACCTGAACCTAATCATCATTGTCCTCAATTTTATTGATTAGGCAAATTGTTTCAGCAAATTTGACAGTTACTCACAGATATAAACGTGAATGAACTACGTGGTCTTTATTCAATGTTCACAGCACAATTTTCATTTACGTTTTTATTTGTGCTTTCCTGTAAACTAAAGTCATTTCTATTTTTATTAAAAACCCTCAGCACTCAGAATCCTGCTTTTTAAATGCTTAACTCGTCCTGGATGTTTATTATGATGATCTGGATAGTATTTGCGTCAAATGTAGTGCGAGAGAATGAATTTTACGTCAGTACTTTCATTAAAAACTGTTTGTGTTTACTAAATATTCAATATAAAAATTCTTTAGTATTTACAGTACTGTAAATACAATTAACATGCAAGTAAAATGCTCCATTGTCATCTTCATCATCATCATTATCATCATGTATGTTGTCCTCAGTCCATCATCATCGTCATCATCATCATGTGTGTTGTCCTGAGTTCCTCGTCATCTTCATCATCATCATCGTCATGTGTGTTGTCCTGAGTCCATCGTCATCATCATCATCTCTTCTTTAGGGTCACTGAGCTTCGTAGGGCAAAGTTTTTTTGTGCAAGTTATTTAGAAAGATCAGATCTTTTTAAAGTGGGGAGTATGAACCAATATACTCAGCAGTTCTCTTCTTGAGTGCATTAGCAATAGTATTATGTACAACTATGTGTAATCATGTTCATGTAGAATTAAATACAGTAATAGATACATTACATGCAAACTTAAATTTAACGAATGAAGTTTCAATCCTCTGACATATGTTTAAGACATGCCTTAGTACAGTTCAAAGTGCTACACTGGCTACATTTCTCTAAAGCTAAACTTGCGAGAATATTCTCCTTCTCTTCTCTATTCTTTTCTAGGCATCCTTTTTTGACACCATTTCCAAGACCTATGGCTATGATATTATGCCTCCTACAACAATTAATATTTTTGCTATATTCTCAGTTCCAGACGATTCCAGTCTTCCTGCTCAATTACGAAAGGTCATTGCTTTTTCCTCTCTAGACGCTAGGTTTTATTTAAATGGAAGGATGTTTCCATTAAGAGATTTCACAAAACCTGGGATCCATTAATAAACTATATGAATAGGTTACCTGTCCTGGAACTATGAACTCATATCTCTACTGGTGATGTGCTCTATCTGCACTTAAACACATCATGATGCATGGGGTTTTGTTTTGTTTGTTTTTTTATTTGTCAGTTGTTGTTGGTTTTGTTTGTTGTCTTTTTTCAGTATTCCTTATTGTTCTATACAAAGTTTGCTTGGGATAATATTTGAAGTTTTGTGAAAATTTTGTCTGATAAGTGAAAAAAGGCCTTTAAGGGAAGTGCTTGCAATTTTAACCAGTGAATCAGAGAAGTTGATTTCTATCAATTATATTTAAGTAATAGAAACAATTTATTTGCAAATAAATGGAGGAGAAAAGAGGAAAAATGCCAGTTGTCTCATTGCGCTGTCCAGCACTGAACTGTTAGCTCATAGTCACGTCTTTACTTCTGACTGGAAATTAAACCAAATGTCCGTTTCAACACAGAAACCACTGTCAACCAAACCAACGTCAGATTGCTTCTGTGGTTTAGTTGTTTATTTCAGTTATTCTTAAAGGACACAGCATGTGGTGGAGGTTTAGGATTCCAAGTCAGATACTTTTTTGTTGTAATTCAGTGTGTAAAACATATTTAAAATATCATTTCAACAATAAATCAAACCCAGTTTGATTTAAACTCATGGTCTAAAGTGGCCTAGTCCAGGGGTCGGCAACATGTGGCTCTTTTACTGCCCTGTTGCGGCTCCACAGCAGAATTCGATTTTTAGGTAAAAATAAAAATAATCCTCCTTTGCAGTAAAATAAAGCTCTGCTCCGCTCTGCACAGTTTTAACAGTAAATAGTCTTAAACGCTGGAGTTCATGTAGAACTGCTAATTCACCCTTTAACCCTGAAGATCAGCAAGCAAACTGCTGGTATACCATAGCAACGCAGAAAACAATCTTGCATACCTAGTAGTTAATAAAAAGGCAAAAAGAAAGATTTAAGATGAACATCGATAATTTAGAGACAAATGGACTTATTTGTGGTTATAATTACTCAGCTGGTTTTCTGATACGTTTAATCTGCAGTGAGAAACTGTCAAACACTAAAAGGTCATAAAGCTGAAGTCAGCTTCTCGTTTGCCAGCTTCTTTTTTT